AATAATTTTAAAAAACTTTTATAATAAAAGTTATAAAATATGTTTTCAAGAATATATTCTATAATAAATATATACCCCATATCATTAATAAATTATTATTTTATTTAAAAAATACTAAATACAATTAAATTTTCTAGGCAAATTTGCCTGGAATACAGTTTAAGGGATAATATAGCAATACAGGATCTTAGTAAAGCTATACTACTTAACTTAATATATAAGAGGGTTAAAAAATGTGTTTGTAAACAAAAAAAAGAATAAAATAAGAAAAAAAACTAAAAGAGACTTTAAAGTAAAACAATAAACCAAAATAAAGATAAGAGCCAATGGTTCTAATCCTAAAACACAATAAAATACTCAAGAAAAGGAAGAAGAAGTGATGGTTCAACTCAATATACCAAAAATAAATACTCAAAGAAAAAAGAAGAGGTGATGGCTCAACTTTAAATATACAATAAAAACACAATAAAAACTTTATTAAATATAATAAAAAGAAGATAGGCGGTGGCTACACTTTCAAGAAAATTAATCATAAATAACAAGGAATTAAAAGTTGAAAGAAGACAGTTTGCTCTGCCTTGGAAAAAAAGGCAGTGTTTTTATATCTTTTGGACTATTAGTTAATGATTCAGTTAATGATCTAGTTAATGACCCAGTTAATAACATAGTTAATGACCCAGTTAATAATCCTTTTAACAACCCAGTTAACAACCCTTTAACAACCTAGTTAATAACCCATTTAACAACTTAGTTAACAACCCATTTAACAAACCAGTTAACATATTAGTTAACGTACTTGTTAAAATACCAGTTAACATACTAGTTAACATACCTGTTAATATATCAGTTAATGTATCTGTTAATATACCAGTTAATATACCTAATATTATACTAAAATTAATACTATTAAAACTCTTTCCAGTTCACTTCCGAAAATATACTTGAAATCAAAATTTTACAAAGAAACTCATTTTTTATCTTTGACTCTCCTAACGAGACAAGGACCTTAAGGTCCAGAAAGCACGAACTTATTACTTTAGACATGGGCAAGCAACCAAACAACAAGAAGGCCAGGCTTTCTTCAAACAACGACAAAATTTTCAATTTTAAAAAAGTTAAAGAAAATAAAGAAAATATTGCAAAACTAAACAACAACAACAATAGCGATAGTAATAGCAGCCTTAAGTTAGAAACAAATATGTTCTTGGGTATGAACTCCAATAAGCTTAATACAAGCTGGGCTAATCAAGTTGAAGAAGAACAAGTAAGCTTAGAAAGAAGCAAAGTCGAAAATTTTTGTAACCAACAAGAAGCACGTGCTGCTTCTTCAAGCACAACAAATCACATAAATACAACAAATGGGGTAACCAACAAACAAGAACATGTGAACGACATGTTAGAAGTAAACAACAAACAAGAACACATGAACGATATGTTAGAAACAAACAACAAACAGAACAAACTACACGTGTCAAGCAATGTCCAATCAGAGTCTTCAACTCACAAAGATGCAGATACTCCAAACCAGGCAATTCTAGAAGGACCAACAATACAGACTCAGGGCCAAAACAATAGTCAAATCTCTTTGCTAAGCTTAAAGGAGGAAAAGCAGCATACCTAGACCTACTCCTAGACAACAAATTCATTCCAAAAATGAAAATGCTCTAATTTTTGATATACAAAACCTAAACAATATTGCTACAAATAATATCATTGCAGCCTTAGCTGCCTCTCTAAAGAAAAATTTAATTGCGGCAAAAACACATATGTCTAAAGGAAAGTGAGCTTTCCTGGAAATTATATTAAAAAACAAGGAAAAGGTTCAATACTATGCAGCTGAGGGAATTTTGCTGTTTAAGCAGACCTTCTTCAGCTATATTTCTATCAACCTCAATTGGTCTTTTCTTACAATTAAGCTTAAAAACACATCTATGGGAGATACTAATCACATTAGTGATAGTATCTTACAAGCTTTCTGAGATATTGGACAAATAGCTTCGATTAAACCTCTTTTTTTTTTTTGAAGCTACCTCAATCTGTACTGATCAATGGTTGGTCACCTTTGAAACTACAGATGATCAAGAGTTAGCTTCACGAATACCAAGAAGCACTCATATTGGTAATCATAGAATTTTCATAGAATTTTCACAGAATGGAAGGAAGCACCTAAGGTCTGCTTTTACTGTGACAAAGAAGGCCATATTAAAAGAGACTGTGAAGAGCTTAAAGCCTCAATTGAGACAAGAAGGCTTCTAAGAGAGGCTAAGGAACTAAGAGAGAGAACTAAATCTTTAGTCTCCATCTCTCCGGAAGTTCCCTTTAGTCAAGAAAACCCATATATCAATCAAGAAACTTCAACCAACAATCAAATTATAGAATCAATTGAAACATCTTTAGAAGTTTGTTCACCAGAAACCGTAATAGAAACAGATCTTAATAACTCCACAGCTTCTGGCTCTGCAGAAGAAACAGAAGCAGAATCTGCTTCCTTCACCAGCTCCACAAACTCTTCTACTCAAATGGAAGTAGAATCTCAGAATGACCTAGTAGTCACTAACACTACTAATACAACTGATAATAATACACCCTTTATCACAGTTGTATTTAGAAAACAAAAAGTAAAAGGCAAGAAGAAATCTTATACTTGACTAGAAGGACCTTATGGAAAAGCAGGTAGCTTCTACCAGAGCCACTTTCTATATAAAAACTAACACTAAAGAAACATGTCTTTAGTATAGTCTTTCTCAACAATTCTAATGATTAAAATCGCTACACTTAATATTAAGGGTCTGAATAGCAGATCCAAAGCACAAAAAACACTTACATTATTAAAATCATACAAATTAGACATTATAATGATTCAAGAAAAATTTAAAAGACTCAAATACCAGAAGATTCCTCTCTCAACTATAGGGCTTCGACTCACTTTGGTCCTCCAAAGTAGCAATTCTCACAGGAAATAGAAACATTAAATTTACTAATACCAAAATCTCCCATAATGATCAAGTAGCCTCAGCTAAAACCACAATCAAACATCAGCCTTTTCTTATTACAAATGTTTATACACCACCTAATATTGAGAAAAGAATCAACTTCTTCAATAACTAGGCACTAATCTCAGACATTAACTGTATCTGCATTATAGCAGATGATTTCAATACAAATTTACGACCAGAAAAAGACAGAATTAGTCAAGCCGCTTCTCAAATGACTACTCTAAGAATTTACTGAGAGAATTAATAGCTAACTATATAGATACTTCTCTATTTTCTAAGGAAGATCTTTTTCTTACCTTCTACCAAACAACATCGAGCAATCGAAGAATGGCAACCAGACTTGACTATATCTTTATAGAGGCTAGCTATAGTCATCTCTGCACCAGTACACTTACTTGATTTGGAAACTCTAACCACCTCTTAGTGGAAAGCATTCTCAATTTAAAACCAAGGCACTATAACAAAGCATGCTGGAAGTTTAAAAGAAAATATTAGAACAATTCCGAACTTAAGGATAATATCATCAATGAACTTCGAAGTTTCCAAGACCCTCTAGAATGGGACCTTTGCAAATATAAAATCCAATCACTTGTTAGAGCAACCAAGTCTCCTTTACCCCCAGAGAGCAATATACAAAGATTGCAAAAAAGACTAAGTAGCATCAACAACAGGGTAGCAAATAATCATAATCTAAAAGAACTCAAATTAGCATCAGAAGAAATAAATCTTAAACTTCAAGAAGAACTTCAATTGCTATCTGACAAATGGTGCTTACACTCTAAAGCAAAATGGATAGAAGAGGGAAGAAGTCAACTAAATACTTCTTCGCTTTATACAAATCCAGGTATACAACAAGCTGCAGCACCAAAATTAAGGAACTAAATACTACTGTTGAGCCTACACAAAAACAAACAATAAGCTATATTAAGAACTTTTACCAGGACCTTTATAAAAGCGAAGATATTAATAAAAAAGCAGCACTCCAAATCACAAACAATCTGAAACAAGTCTCCTCTGAGCAGAACCTCGGCCTGTTCAAACCTATTACAGAAGAAGAAATCAACCTTGTCATTAATAACCTGCCTAATAACAAGGCCCAGGGTCAGATGGCTTGACATATGAATTTTACAAAGATACCAAAGAACTTACTCTTCCGATTCTTACTAAAATATTTAATAATGTAATAATGATTGGAACAACTCCAAGCTCATGGAGCAAGAGCCTTATTACACTTATTCTTAAAAAGGCAGACGATTTATCTATTCTAAACAACTGGAGACCTATTTTTTTAGTTAATTCAGATGCAAAAATTTTTATGAAAATTCTAGCAAATAGGATTAATCCTATCTGCGATGAGATTATCGGCCCTGCGCAACAAGCATTTATTGCCAAAAGATCGATTATTGATACCGCTTTGGATATCATTACTGTTTTAAGAAATTAAGAAGACCAATCAGCACAACACTGGCTTTTACAACTAGACCAACAAAAAGCTTTTGATAGGGTAAACCACAAGTTTCTTAAACTCATCTTAGAGCGAATGAACTTTAGCAACAAGTTTATTAGTTCTTTACTGACTACTCAAAAAGCCCATATAGTTGATTCTGGCTTCATTTCTGAAGCTTTTAAAGTTGAAAGAGGGGTTAGACAAGGAGATCTACTCTCTCCACTTTTATATATTCTAGCTATTAACCCTTTGATCCAAGCAATCAATCAAAACATTAAAGGCATCTCAGTTAACAGCTCCACATTTAAAGTTGCAGCATATGCAGATGACCTCTCAATTGGTATTGGCCAGGTCTCAGACTGGAACAAGCTACAAGAAGTTTTATCTCTATATGAGCAGGCTTCTAATATACTCGTTAATAAATCCAAATCTACTCTCATTCCTCTTACTGCAAATGCTAGCAGAATGGAACTGAGTGATCAATCTAGATTTAATTTACTAGTAGACACTCAAAGCAACATCACAATTCTAGGCTTTATGATAAATTCTAAAAGTGAACCTGATAAAGCCCTCTGGAGCAACACAATTAAAAAAAATTAAAAACAAGATTCAGGACCTCTCTCAGAGAAATCTTTCCTTCAAGGGAAAGATTCTCGTAACTAAAATGTTACTGGTTTCAAAGATCTGGTACTCAGCCTATCTCCTCCCTCCAACCAGGAAACAACTCAACGAAATTGACTCTCTTATCAAAGGCTGGATTAAAAGCAATTCAAAGTGGTCTGTCAGCTCCTATTCTTAAGGACATGCTTGATGCTAGACTTCTTACTATACTGCTCAAACTTTTTACAAGTAATACTTTTTGGGCTACTACAGAAAGGAAAACTATAAGTACAAAGTTTTATAACAAGAGGAAGATCTCAGCTGCTATAGCCCTATCGCAAACCTCCTGCAAAACTAAGGGCTGGCCAGACAGCTGGAAGCCTTATATTACAGCATGGGGAAGATTCAAAAGAAAAATCCTAACCAATTATACATGGCTTTGGTCTTTAGAACAAATCAAAATTAGTGATATTTCGGGTAATCTGTTTATAGTAAAAGGAGTTCTAAAAAGCTTTCACACCCTCTCAAGCTCAGCCACTACTAATTCTTTAGAAAAAAACACCTCTTACGATTGGATAAAAATGAAGTGGTTACTGAACAAAAAGAAGGATATATTTTGGAGACTAATTCACAGAGCACTTCCTCTTGGATACAGGCTTATTCATATTGACCAAACCAACTTAGGGGACTGTCCTAATTGCCCTTTTATTACTCAAACAATAGAACATTTTGCTCTTAAATGCTTACTAAGCAAAGTAATCTGAGAAACAACCTACAAAGCGCTTATCAATACAGATGGAGATGCTATTCCTAGAACTTTAGAAGACATTACTTTGGCAACCAACATTGTGAACACCCAAAAAAGAAAAACAGCCATTTGGCTTCATATTACAGCTATCTATGAAATATAGTGCTGGTATACCCAAGCCAGGTGGGGTGATAATATGGGGTCTTTGCCTTGAAAATAACCTTACGGTACATGATACCGTAAGGTCATTTTCAAGGCAAAGACCCATATAGTTTCTCATAAGGCAATAGCGAACTTTATAACTATAAGAATCAAACATAAAATCAAGCTATTACAAAAATTACTCAACAAAAAAGTTCTTTCTAAATTGGAAAAAACTAACAATATTCTTAAATATATTAATCTCAATATGTAAATATGTACATTATCTTTAAAAAGAATAAATAAATAAAGTACGCTTAGATGCGCTTTTTTTTTTTTTTAAAAAAAAAAAAAGATCTAACAGAAGAACTATAGGAAATTAAGGATTTATCAAAATGGGATCTACACAAGTATATACTACAATCGATAATAAGGGCATACAGACCTTCTCCAACTCCTGAAAAGAAAAATACAGAAGCTTTAAAAAAAATTAGCAGCTCTAGACAATAAGATAGCAAGAGAGAGCTTAACAGAAGATCTGGTGACTATGAGAAATAATCTTGATACCTTGTTACAAGAAGAGTTACAGGCTCTTTCAGACAAATGGCAGGCAAAGTCAAATGCGAAATGGATTAAGGAAGGTGAAAAGTCTACCAAGTTTTTCTTTTCACTTTACAAGACGAAGAACAAAACTTCAGTACAGGATAAGATTCAGATTTCTAATAATATTCAGAATCAGGATCAAATAAGTATACTACAATATATTATAAACACATATCAAGAAATATACAAAGATGAGGAAACTGATAGTGAAACGCTTAGCTTTTTTGTCCAAAACCTTTCTCAGGTTGCAGATGCACAGAATTCAGAGTTGACACATAATATCTCTGAAGAAGAAGTTAGTAATACCATCAGCCAGCTTCCAAACAACAAGGCTCCAGGATTAGAAACAGGATTAATACCCAGATCATGGACAAAAAGCATTATCACACTAATTCCTAAGAAATTAGACAATCTTAAAAACATTAATAATTGGAGACCTATCTCTCTTACAAATTGTGATATAAAGATCTTTATGAAAATTCTAGCCAATAGGATTAATGCTATCTGTCAACCAATAATTGGTCTATCACAACAAGCCTTTATAAAGAAAAGTTACAGCTATAAGGAATCAAAGCAACCAATCTTTCTGCATTGGATTATACTATTAGATCAGCACAAAGCCTTTAACAGAAGGAGGTTCTAAAAAAAATGAACTTCCATAGAAAGTTATCAACATTATCAACTTCTTTTGTACTCAAACAGCACATATCACAGATTCAAACCTAATTTCCGAACCTATACACATAGAGAGAGGTGTTTGACAAGTGATACTTTGTCTCCACTTTTGTATATTCTGGCTCTCAACCTGCTAATTCTCAAAATTCAGGAGGAAATTAGTAGAATTCGAATTATGCAACAACAATTTAAAGCAGTAGCATATGCTGATAACTTAACAGTAGGAGTGGGTTCTCAATCCGACTGGAAAAAGCTCCTTTTACTGTTACAAAGATTCAAAATTGCTACAAACTCTAAAATTAACAAAGAAAAATCTATTTTATTCCCTATAACAGAGGCAGCACAATTGACAAGATTGTCAAACCAAAGCTTCTTTAAGATAGCCAATAATGAAACTT